GTTTATATAAGTTAATGTTATAATGCAAGAAGCTGAGAAAACATAGTTTGTTCTTCTTTACTAGTTAAAAAAATCTTGGACCAGAGGACCATCAGTTACAGGTTAAAATTATTAGTCTGCAGAGCTTCTACAGATCTAGAAATGTCGTTTCTGGCATCATTATATTAGGAAATAGGTTTATAAATCTTTTTAAACAGAGAGAAGCAGGGAGAGCTGCAGGTTTAAAGGTTAAACTGATTGATTGGGATTAAAACATGCAATAAAATATATCTACAAGTTTATCACAAAGTTTACAAGAAAGAAAATATGCTGTTCTATATTTAAAATGCAGCATATCATATTTTTCTGGATGGATGAATGGAAATGAAATAGCAAACTCCAGGAATGCTCGATTAATTGATTTTTGGCATCGGAATCGCCCAGTATTCATTATTTCTCTATACATTCATATTTTTGGGACCTCTCTCTCTATATATATATATATATATATATATATATATAATGCACTTAAAGGCATCTCTCTAACATCTATAGATATAAATATCAGTGTATTGTGGTTCCATTGTGTTCTCAACAATAGGAAAGCATTCGATAAATACATGTTTGAGTTCATTTTTTACAAAAATCTAATGAAAGCGTTTGGGGGGAGTAACTGTAGCTCCATCAGCCCCCACCCTTAGAGCGCCCCCACCCTCAAAGAGCCCCCACCCTTAGAACGCCCCCACCAAGTTACACCCATGGATCTGAGGAATCCGTGTCTTTGAAGGTTCTGCTCAGGTTCTGAGCTTCTCAAGACGAACGGATGAGGAGCCGTTTATCACTGATTTTCTTCTTCTTGCTGGTCTTCCTCCTGCAGCTATGCGGTTTCAGACAACGCGTACCGCTCCATGAGGACGGAGAGGAAGGACCAGTGCATCCTGATCTCAGGGGAGAGCGGCGCCGGCAAGACGGAGGCCTCCAAGAAGATCCTGCAGTACTATGCTGTGACCTGTCCAGCCAGCGAGCACGTGCAGACCATCAAGGACCGTCTGCTGCAGTCCAACCCGGTGCTGGAGGTGAGATTCTGCAGAGTTTATCCAAACAGAGTAGTTCTCAGCTACCAGCAGAGCTAAGCCCCTCCCCTTTTTCTTTGCTCCATAATCCATGGTCTAACACTCCTCTCTGCTCCAGGCTTTTGGGAACGCCAAGACGCTGCGCAACGACAACTCCAGCCGCTTTGGGAAGTACATGGACATTCAGTTCGACTTCAAGGTGAGTATCAGATGGTCCACAAACCCGTGAAAGGCAGAACTTTTCATTTCTGAGAGGATCGAGAGAAAAGTTTTAATGAAGACGACCAAACCCCTCTGGAACCTGCACGCTCTGCTACATCTCAGTACCCCAGCCTTACCCAATCCTCCTCCTTCTCCCCCTCCTCACCTTCTCCCCGACCCGGCCCTCTGCCCCGTCGACAGGGCGCTCCGATTGGCGGCCACATCATCAACTACCTGCTGGAGAAGTCCAGGGTGGTCCACCAGAACCACGGGGAGAGGAACTTCCACATCTTCTATCAGATGATCGAAGGAGGAGAGGAGGACCTGCTGAGACGATTGGGCCTGGAGAGAAACACCCAGCAGTACCAGTACCTGGTCAAGGTAAGGGCGGGACATTTCTGCTGGGGTTCAGGGAGACCCCCGTCAGTCTGTGGGCTAAAACTCAGTCGCCCTGAAATCAACATAGAGAGTTGGAAAGATGGAGGTTCAAACACCAGCAGAACAAAAGCAGTTCTGTTGGAACGGTCTAGTCAAAGTCATGCTGACTCAGCTTTAGCAAAGAGCAGGAATCCCCGAGATCTATAAAATCTATAGCGATCTATAGAGCATAGATCTAAAATCTATAGAGATCTATAGAGCATAGATCTAAAAACTCTGTTAACATGAGATTTTCTTTGGGAGTTAAATTGCCTCCGGTTTATACTGATGCTTCTGGAAGCTTTGGCGCTGCAGAAACGGCCGCCTCCCTGGAGCTTCTTTCCATGCTCACCGTTTGCCCCATGTCCCAGTGGGTGGGGGGGCGGGGTGGCAGTTAACGGGCTCTGCTTTTCCCCACAGGACAGCTCCTCTTAAGGGCCTGGATGAGCTCTCCCTGTTTGTCTAGCTCGCTGTTTACGTTGCACACACGGGTATTTAGCTGTAAAGTGCCGTTTGCACGTCACCTGCTGCCACAGTCTCTGTCCCACGCGTCTTTCACATCGTCTGAAACGCCCAAACGGAGCTTTTATGGCTCCAGGTTTAGGTCTAACGTGTCTAATGTGTCCTGCAGGGTAACTGTCCCAAAGTGAGCTCCATCAACGACCGCAGCGACTGGAAGGTGGTGAGGAAAGCCCTGACGGTGATCGGCTTTAACGACGACGATGTGGAGGTGAGGAGCAAACTGAACATAAACCATAATCTGGTCCTGACTGGGATTAGCTTCTCCTCAAAATAACAGACCTGAGCCAAAGCCAGAGGTTTACCTGTTTATCTTTAATTCCTCTTAAGATCACATTTATCCAGAAACAACAAACATTAGAGAGATGCTGTGACCCTGCTTAGTGTGGGAATCTCATCAGTTAGCGTTTCCCTCTGAAGGCAGCATGTTGAATATAAACTTTTTCTTTATGCTGATGATTCTGCTCTTTATATTTAGCTTAATTTGTTTATCATCAGCGTTTTCATTACTTGGCCTGCCTGATTATGTTATTTGAAATTAATTTGGGCTCAAGTTGGACTCTTCTAAATTCTATTTTTTTGTTTTTAGTAAATTATTTCTATCTAACTTATTTATTCCAGTTTTATTCCCTTGAATTTTTTTTTTTATCATTTTGTCTCCTGACATCGTAGAATGTCATTCTGGGGTTTTGTTTTTGACATTTTTTCTGTTTTAGTAAAAATATAAAAACAGCAGTGTGTAACCTTTGACCCCCGCTATCACTTTAATCTGAGATCTATGAAATATTTTGCTTAATATTCTCTCTCGCTGCTGCTTCCCATCAGAAACTCTGGAGCTAATGAAGCTAACAGCTGTTAGCTCTGAGCCTCAGCTGATTAGAGTCAGAGCTAGCTAAGCTAACAGCTGTTAGCTCTGAGCCTCAGCTGATCAGAGTCAGAGCTAGCTAAGCTAACAGCTGTTAGCTCTGAGCCTCAGCTGATCAGAGTCAGAGCTAGCTAAGCTAACAGCTGTTAGCTCTGAAACTCAGCTGATCAGATGTGTTTCTGGTTCTCTGATGGAGGATTTCATCCAGAAGGGGAACGTTTCCTCGTTTCCTCGTCTTTAGCTCCAGGATTCTGGACCTTCTGGTCCAAACTGGTCTGAAACCAGAACCAGAACTCAGATGGAGACTGGTTCAAATATATGGAGTCAAATTTGTTCCATTATTGTTTCAGAGATTTCCTCTGGAGTGAGAAGAGAAGATTCACTTTTTCTGGTCTGCTGGACTTCAGCAACAACATTTATTTTTTTTATATATAATATATATTTTTTTATCTTTTTCATCAACAGATTTTCCTTTAGTGCCCCTTTAATAAGACATTAGGTTTTGAACATAAAAAATAAACAAACAGAAAACGAAATAATTAAAGTAAACTTGTATCATTGAACCGGAGTATAAATAACTTTTAATGACATTCCTTATATTATAAATGTCCTCATTTTTGTGACTCCGTCATTAAATAAACATCCAGCTTCAAAACAAGCTCCTAAACTAAATCCCTTCTACAGGGTTTCTGCCACACTTGATAATCATTATAAGTCATTAAATTATTATTCTTAAACAAAGGCCTTAATTGGCATTAAAATTCATTACATGTGGCATATAAAATGCTTTATTAAAAAGAAAAAAACGTCTCTAAAAATACTTTCTTCAGATATATTATATCAGATAGAACTGGTTCCCAGTGTTTGGGTGGAGCTGCTTCCAGTTGATCGTAAAGCCGTTTGTTTGGGAAAGAAGCTCGAGGCGGAGAAAAAGCTAGAGATTTGGAAAATGGAAATTTCAACAAAAGCGGCTGAAAAATGAAAAATACTGGAAATGGCTGCAGCTGCCTGTCCACGGTAAAGATGAACAAGGATTTTGATATAGATATATATATATATATATAAACCCTGTTCTATGTTGCTTTATATTCTTGAAGTCGTACTGAAATCATATTTAAATGTCAAATCATTCTGCCTTAAACATGTTTATAAATGTTCTCTTTATCAGACCATATCGTCCCAAATTTAGAAAATGTCGATATTGAAAAGAAATCCTGTCATAAAATCCTAAATTCATCCAATCATATATCGACGGTCATCTGTCAATCAAATGTTTTCGGTCATAGCATCTTGATTCATGTCGCAGCTAATATACGCAATCAGAACTAAGATCCTTTACTGGTTGATGGTTTTCTGTATTCTGACCAGCTGATTTTTAATTGGTTACTCCTGGATTAGAGGCTCATAGGTGATTATTTAATCCGGTGTTTCTGTGGGTGTGAAGCTGTTATCATGTCTGAGCTGAAGTTTAAGCTTCCTCCTACATGTCCAGGCCGTCCTCTCTCAGGTCCTCAGCAGCCGGATCTTGGCCCGCCCTGATCTTTGTCCACTTTCTTTATCAAAGAGGCTCTTATCAGTTTATCCGCTCGTAAAGATTACTGTGACCTTAAAGGAACCGTCTTTTAACCCTGACCTTTGCTCCCTCCATGCCCGGCTGCAGCTCCTCACTGCGTCCTCCTTGTTTTCTACGCAGGAGCTGCTGAACATCATCGCCAGCGTGCTGCACCTCGGTAATGTGCAGTACGGCGAGGAGGAAGGCCACTCCCACATCGCCTCGGACACACAGATTAAGTACCTGTCCAGGGTAAGACCAAGGCCAGCCGCTCCACCCCGGTTTACACTTTAACCAGAACATCAAAGTTTTTATGAGGAAACCGCAATAAACCAGATTATAAACCGACTTTAAGGCTTTAGAGATGGAGGAGATCCGTCTCTAAACCGTCCTTCATTTACGATTTAAATAGAATAACATTTAATTAAGAATCTATAATATATATATATATATATTTTTACAAATGCAAATTTATTTTGATTTTATGATTCAATCATTTTAAAAAGGCTTTTTTACTCATTTCTATCCAAACATCGACTGATAACTATGGAAGAGGATTAGGGCCACTGAAAAAAATTTAAAAAGTTTCCTGATTTTTAAATATTTTTTCAGTGTAATATCATATGTCAAAAAAGTTAGAATTCTGACTTTAATTTCAGAATTCTGTCTTTTTTCTCAGAAATCTGTCAGAAATCGGGGAATGAAAGAGAAAGAAAGCCATTAGGTGGAATCCGAGTTTTCCTAAAAATTTAATGCTTCTCTGGTGAAGCGTTTGGACACGGTTGTAATGCTACGTTCAGATCGCTAGCAGCAG